TGCAATGATAATAATATTAGTAATACTTATATACCGCTTGCGCTCTCTCTCCCCCATCTCCCTCCCTCTATAAATATTAACAACCATATTTAAATAGACTATTAAAGTAGCTTCAGTTACAAGGATCATACATATACATTTAAAATATATTATTAAAATGATTGCAAACTCAATAACAATCTAATATAATGCAAGAAACAGTAAGATGAAGTAGTGTATCAATAATTACAATTATTTAGCAGATCTTGAAGAAGGAATACACAATTGCTTATGGGCTAAAGAATCTATTTAAAAAACTCTAATACCAAATAATAGTCATATACTTAGAGATTGTTAATAAAAATTTGGTATTCAGTGAGAAGAAGATTCAGTCCTCCAGTCTGATGTCTCCAATAGAAGGATGATATGAAAAATATTTAGGGAAAAACAATGATCTTTCACGGATGGAGACATGGTTGATCAACAAGAATGAATCAAGCTTTGGCAAGAATTAAAAGATAAAGGAAAAATACAGAATGGCCTCTTTACTATCAACTGCTTTCAAGACTGAAAAGGGAAACCTAAACAGAAAAATGTGCAGTGAGAGATTTGATGGCTTTTGAAATGATGATTAGACACCAAAATGGCCACCTATTGGAATGCAATAATTCCTGCAGTTTGATACTGCAGCTCAACAAGTTAAAACACGTATGTTAAGTTGAATGCAGAATTTTGAAAAAGAAAAGCTTTTCTGCTGATGGAATGTCTTATGGACGATGGAGATAAAATTTGCAGCCAGTCAAGCATTAAGAAAAAACTGGTGTATGATTTATTTGTGGTAAATTGCCCCATAAGATATACAGAAAATGAATAAAAATTATAATGGAAAATGTTGAAGAAGTGGGTGGACTTTTTACCATATGTAGTGGACATGTGATAAAATTAAAAGATTTTGGAAACAGCTGCACATGAAAATGCAGAAAATTATTTTTCATGCATGCTGAGAATGTGCTATTGAATATTGTATCAGAGACTCTTCCAAAGAACATGCTAGAGTTATTTAAATATATGATAACAGTGACGAGAGCTAGAATTGCGTCAAAGTGGAAAGCAGAAGGTTGCCCAATGACTGAAGACCGGAAAAATAAGCCAGCTAAGTATGCAATAACAGCAAAATTAACCAATTGTATAAATAGCAGATGTGCCAAAGAATTTAATGAAAACTGGAAAGCTTATTATAAGCAATTTAATTAATATTCAAGAAGATAGAACTCATATTATTAGAGAGCTTCATCTCATGGTTAAAGCTTATGATGTTATGTATAATTAGTTTGAAGAGACTGGGCAATTAGTTGGTTTAAAGAAATATACACTAGAACAGTTTGTTTACAAGTCTTAATTAGGAACTGATTGACTTAATGGTGAACAGAAGAAATGTTTGTTTTTGTTTTTTGCTTTTTTGTGAATTTTTTAGATGCCGAAATTGTACATTATATTTGTGTAGTATCCCTTGGTGTTCTTTTTCTTACATTTTCATTTTTTACTTTTCTGTGTCTTACTTCATTATGAAAACAAGAAAAATAAAAATACAATTATGTATAAGCCGTGAAAGACTTGTAAATGATAGAAAATTACTGATCTTTATTACATATCTGTGCTGCCCGGTAGCAAAAGCTCTCTGGGCAGTTCAGAAAAAATCCATTATGATGATACATCATATAAAATCTGAATCAAAGCAGAGTAAAAGCTAGCCAGCAGGATGTAGGTACGGAAGCACAAGGCATTTAAAGAGAAACGGTGGGTCCAAAATAAGCCTGAGAAAATGGGAAGTCCTACATCTTGTGCCAGAGCAACTGCAGTGGAGGGGACGAGGCGACCTTCTCCACGTCTGTCCAGAGACAGTATATACACGTCTTAAGGAAGTGAATAAAGAATAAGAACTGCCCGGGGGCCGCCACCACGAAGCTCGTCTCTGTGGGAGCTTGGCCACGCTTGGGGGCGCCCTGCGTAGCCTTGCGCAGGCGGGCTCCCCATTCCTGCGCTGCTTATGCCGAAGAGGGAATTTTAGCAAGCTTTGCTTTCCTCGCGATCGACGGTGCCTCCTGCCAAAGCAGCTTCTGGACAGAATCGTTAAAGGGTGTGGGTCCTGCGTTACTTCCTTAGCTTATTCTTTCTGTACATGGGCAGGTTCTACATTCATGTTTGTGAATCTTGTCCATCAGCCAGCACTCCAAGCAACATAGAATTATTTATTTTCTCCTCCTTCCCTTTTAAAAATTGGCCCCGGGCTGGGCTGGAGCATTGAAGGGGGTCCTCGGGTGGATCTCAGAAGGTGGCAGGCAGAAAGCGCAGCTGGCCAGCTGGATATCGGGAGAGGCTTCCGGACTGTTGGAGCAGCACGGCTGTGGAGCCCTCGGCCACGCTCTCCGTCCGGAGGCCTTCAAGATGCAGCTGGACAGCCACCTGCGGATGCTTGTGTTTGGAGTCCTGCATTGATCCGGGGCTGGACCGGAGGGCCTGAGGGTTTTTCCAGCTTTACTAGTCCATGACCACTTCCAGGCTGACAAAAGACAAGAGGCAAACTTCGCACGCTGCTGGAGAAAATAGCATAATTGCTCTGCCGGAGCAATGCAATTTTCCGGCATTGTTCTGTGTGTAGCAGCATCTTGTCGGAAACAATACGCAGCTCTGTCTCTGAAGGAGGGGTTCCTCTGTCTTTTCGGAGAGGATGTTTGTCAACAAATTACCCCTCTTTTCTTCCTTGCCCTTTGTCCGCCTGTCTGCTTTCTTTGTAGCTCTTGCCGAGTTTCCATTCCAAAGAAATTCCGGTGGGGGCTGAAGGCTGTTTTCCCAAACAACCAACGAGGCAGTGAGGTGGCATCTTGGCTGTATCCCTACAGGCTTTGGGGTCTTAAAAAGGAGTGAACACCTTGCAGGAGGAAAGGGCCGGGCTTTCTCCCTGACCCACTGATTTTCAGTGTGCAGGATGATGATAAGAAGAAGGGGGGGGCTGTTCCATCTGAAAACCCCTCCAGCGCCGTCTGAACTGCAGGTCCCATCGCTCTGTGCAAGGGCCACACCCGTCGTGACAGATGCAGCCAAATTCCTTCGTGATCAGAAGCGAGCTGGGCTGGCAGAAGAGACCCTCTGCCCTGCGGCCCGGGGAGGGACCTGCAGCGCCGAGCGGGGGACCGGCTGGCTCCTCTTCATGCCCGTCGCTTGTCTGGCAGGAATTGGACTCGCCTCGTGTCCGTTCCTGTGCCAAGCCAAGCAGCGGTCTCGATGCGCGTGGTGCTCGGAAGCGGCTTCCTGCGCAGAATTTAGCGTCTCCTGGCTGGGAAGCGAGTGGAGAGCGCTGCGGCCCCCGAGGCTACAGACCTCCTTTGACTGCCTCTGGAGGTGGGCGTGCGGGGTGCGGGGAGGTGCTGCTTCCGGCCGGGCTGGCCTTCGCTGCCCCGCGTGGTTTCCTTCCTGGATGATGTGGTGGCATCGGGGGAAAGCCAGGCTAATGGACATGCCAAGCCCTTGCGCCTGGGCGAAGCCCCGGGCAGAGAGGAAGGTTGCTGAGCGGCGGGGCGGAGGGCAGGCCTCTCTCGTCGGCTTGTGCGCCCGGCGTGGCCTCGTGGCCTGAGCTGCCGGCTCCAGGATGCGTCCGGGCAAGGGGGCCTCGGCCTTCCGTGGCTCCTCCCGGCCTCTTTGTGGGGGAGCTGCAGGGAACCCGACCGGGTGGGCGGCATGTACTCGGGCACGTGCAGCGCAGGCCGGTGGCGTGAATTTGGGCGAGCGTCCGCCACGTCATGTGCTCCTGGCTCCTCTGCCGAGGGCTGGGGAGAAGAGACCCTTGGCGGAAATATGGGTCCTAGTGCGCCACCCACATCTTTGTACCACATGGGGCTCAGCCCCTTGGGTCCCTAGTTATTCCTGCACTACTGCAGGGTAGAGAAGAAGACGATGTTTCCGTGCAGGCACCGCCCGCCTCCTCCAGTCTGCGATCTTTCCTCCTCCTCCTCCTCTCTCTCACCGCAGCCCCAAGGCAATCCTTTCCTTCCCAGTCCCCCTGCCCTTCGTCCAAAGCCTCCTTCCTCTACCTCCTCCCGCTGCCTGCGCTTTGTGCGCCCCTTTATTTTGTTTTGAATGGAATCTATGGGCGTAATGATGATTGAGGAACGAATATGATTAATTGAAGGGAAACTGCTTTAATTCGGAGGCAGGACCTGGATGAAAACTGGGAAATTAATGGAGAGCGCCCTCAGGAATTGTGCTTAGCTTGCTTCTGCCTTCGTGCACAGTCAAATGTTCAGAACTCTGTTCCGGTAGAGTAGTTGCCATTTTGAGGTTTCTTTCTGTTTGCCTTCAGCATTTTGATGGAAGACGATTCGCTGGTCTTCAATCAAAATTATTCCGTGTCCTATACTGTGGGTCAGGGTGCAAATTAGTGGGTAGATTTCTTTCATTTGACGAACTAATTGTTAGCTTTGCCTCCTTCACAATTGAAGAAATATGGGCATGTTCAGCCTTGAGAAGACCGAGGAGGCACATGACACCCCTCTAGAAATGCCCCAAAGGCTGTCCCAGAGAGGAAGGTCAAGGACTCTTCTTGCCGACACCAGAGTGAAGGACACGGAATAATCAAGTCAAGTTGCAAGATTCAGGCTGGACATCAGGAAAAGTTTCCTCGCAGTCAGAGCAATACGGCAGTGGGACCAGCTGCCTGGGGAGGTGGGCGGCTCTCCCTCACTGGGGACGTTCAAGGAGAAACTGGGCAGCCCTCTGGGCGGGAGGGTGCGACTTGGTGTCCTGCAACAGCAGGGGGTGGACCCGAGGGCCTTCCTGGCCCCTTCCCACTCTACTGCTCTATGATTCTATGAAATCCTAGTACGCCTTTCTGAGTTTGCATATGTAGATCTCACTCGGCATATCGGAGATATTATGCAAGGTTGCTCCCCGTGGGCCTGAGCCCCAGACCCCTTTCAGCGCTTAGCAAACTAGCCGGGAAACGCTCTGCTTCTTTGTCCCCGCAGGATGAGGCTCCGCTGCCTCCTGCTGGCCGCGCTGTGGCTCTGCACCGGTGACCTGGGCAGCCCCTCCGGTGAGTGACCTGCACGTTTTCTCCTGGGCAGGAGGGCTTCCATGGGAGCACATGGAGGGTGTGGGGGGAATGGGGGTCCGAAGGCCCACCTGGGGTGCCGCCAAGTGCTGGGAGGGGCTCGGTGGAAGTTCAGCCCTTTCGGAAGCAGGTGCCTTCGTTGTTTTGCTTTGGATCCCTGTTAGTGCCTGGGGGCTGTTGGAGAGATCAAGCCCCGATCCCTCGGACCCTCCCACGCTGACTGGTCATTAGCGTTCCTGTGACAGCTCAGTTACTAAGAGGCAAGCATGCTAAAGTTTAGCAAATTAAAACAATAAACATCCAGACAGTAAAACATTAGGAGCTCCATCTTTTAAAGGCTATTTTTTAAAAAAGATGCACCCCTTGGGCACATCGAGGAAATTGCTTTTGTTTGGCTCATGGCTGAATTCCTTGAACGGCTCGTGCATGCACCTCCACCCCCGGCTTATTCCGCGAAGAGCTGGCTGCTCCACGGGGGGAAGCGGGCTGGGGCTTGCGGCGGGCCCTTCTCAGGCAGGCAAGTCCTGGCGCATGCAAGGAGCCACTCGCTCAGGCGGCAGGCACATGCTCGCCAGCCCTGGGCTTGGGGCGCATTGCGCACGCAGGTGGCGTTGGCGTGATCTGCCAATGGGGTTGCTGGGTTTTGGGGGCTCCGCCCCCTGCGGAAGGATCGACCTGGGGAGACGCAGTGTGGTCAGCCTGATGCTCCCATCCTGAGCAGCCCCTGGGGGGCTACAAAGGGCCACGGGTGTGGTGGTGCCCCCCTTGCGGTGGCGCCACCCAGGCACGCAGGCAGCGGTGAGACTCCCCGGAGGAATTGGGTGAAAGCACGGCCCCTGCCCACGCCGTCGGCTCCCGGCCTGCAACGAGGTGGGGAGTTTTGAGGGGCCGCTTGTGCTGCTGCTCCCGGGCCAGCAGAGCAGATGATGGCACAGAGGTGGCAAAAGCGATGTGCTCTTTCGCCCCAAAAACATCATCCCCTTCAGATCAGTTAGGCAAGATTGGGGTGGGGAGGCGAGAGGGCAGTGGCGAGAAAGCAAAAGCACCTCCTCGGATGCGTGTCTCGGAGCTCAGCTCGAAGAGCTTCTGACCCTGAGGTGGCACCTCGTCGGGAAACCTCAGAGGGGTGCTTTGGGCCCTGGGCAGCGCACGAGGCCGCCATGGCCGGCGGATGCTGCTGGCAATCATCCTGCCACACCTGCTTGACGGGTCGCGCAAGCAGCAAGAGGACGGTCCGGCGGAATGCGATGGCCGGGGCGTGAGCCCCTCCCCAGAGCACCCCCAGGAGAGATGCGACGCGCCGCCTGTCTTGCAGCGGTCCTTGTGCAAAGGCGGGAGGTCCTGAAGGTCCTGCTGAGACACCGGTGCTGGGAAGACGCTGCAGGCCCTGCGGCTCCCACCCGTTTCCCGGCAGGCTTGGGAAGGGCTGCGAGCTGCCCTGAGCGGACAAGATCCTCAGAAAGCCTGGGGGAAGGCGGGTGGCCAAAACCCCTGCCTGAGCACGGACGAGGGATGCATCGGCAGCCTTGGGAGAGGGGGGCCTCCGGAGCAGGGGCTGCAACTGGGGAAGCCTCGTGCGGGGTTGCAGGGTCTGTGCCTCTGCAAGGAGCATGCGCATCTGGCCAGAGCACAGGGAGAGAGAATTCCCAAAGCCCACGGGGACCCCTGCCCAGCCCGGATCGCCTCTGATACTGGATCACATCCCCTGGGGGGACCCAGCAAGCAGAGGCTAACCGCTCGCCGCTCTCCCACACGGGAGAAAGCACGGCTGGCTGGTGCCGGTGGGCCAGAATCGCTGCGGCATGATCGGGCCCTCCTGGCCCGGTTACACGGTCCCCTCTCTGCATTCCGGGCCAAGGCTTCGGTTCTCACCGTGCCGGGGCTGCGCCTTTGCCGGCCTCCTGCTCTCGCCCTCCGGGGCCGGCCCCACTCCGCCGCCGAGCCCTTCCGGGTTTGCCTAGCACGGTGAGTCCACCTGGGCAGGGACTGAGCGCCACGCCAGCACCATTCCAGGCCCAGCGGCCCTTCAAGGGCTGTGCAGGCCTGCCAGCGCCCTCTCCTTTGGCAGAAAACCTGGGCTGGAGGAAGCCCTTTGTGCTGCCGAGGGGGCGCTGCAGAGGCCACGGTGGGCCGAGGGAGCAAGAAGGAGGACGCCGAGCACTTGGGCTCGGATAGGACGGGGCCCGGGGACCGATGGCGACGCGCCCGGCCCACGGGATGGCGCCTCCACAGAAGGATCTTGGGGGAGACTCGAGCATCACTTGGCGTGTGTGCGGCCTCCGTGCCCAGGCAACCTCTGGCACTTTCGGGGCGGTTTCCGAGGGACCCCCCGTTTCTCTCTTCCCCTTCCTCTGGGGTGGGGGAGCCCTCTGTGCCGAACCAGCAGATTGGTCCAGGAATGCAGCGCATCCGGACGCGGCTGCGCTCGGGCAAGAGGGCCTGCAGCCCCCTGCGTGCCTGAATTCCGTTACCTGGGCTCTGTCCGCAGGTGATAGCCAGCCGATAGGTAATGAAGCAGGGCCTGCCAGGGGGATCCACTCCCACACCCCGCCACTGGCTGCCCCATCGGCCCTGGAGCCAGGCTCCGGGTCCTTTGGGGGCCGAGCACCCCAGCAGTTCAGCCAGCTGCCCCTGGGGTTCAGTCGTGGGGTCGTTTTGGAGCTAAGCAGCACAGGGGCGCAGCTTGCTTGCTTGCTTGCTTGCTTGCTTGCTTGCTTGCTTGCTTGCTTGCTCGCTTGCTCAGTCCTCTGGATTAATGCACTGACGGGTGACAAAAGGCCCCGGCTCCTTCCATCTGTCTGTCCTTCCACCCTGGGCTGGCAGGCACAATGGTTAGACTCACCCGCTGTGTTAACAAAGCTAGCAGCAGCTTTCGCCTTGGCTTTGGGCCATGTGCAGCTCCAGACTAAGGGATGCTCTGCTTCTTTCGTCCTGTGGTGGCCGGTTTCATTATTTCTCATCTCTGCAGCCCTTTAGAAATGGCTGGAAGCTGATGTTGTGGGGGCAAAGATGAGCGACGCACATTGAGAAGGCTGTTCCGAGACTTCTGAAGTGTGCTTGTCTGATTGAATGGTTTTGCTTTTCCAAGCTTCACAAGGATACTCAACAAGCCGCAAGAGTGCTGATTTTTTAAACATGGACAGGGAGAGAGGGGAAATCTTTGGGTTAAACCTAAGGGGGTCTTAATGCATTTGGCCGAGAAAAGCACAAAGAGACACATAAAAATAAGCTCAATGTAAATGAATAAAATTCTCCAGCAGCTGAGCAGCTGTTTATTTCTGCGGTCATGAAAAGGCCTCCTTCGGCCATGTCTGGCTGGGGAATGACGAGAGTTGGAGGCCCCCGCACCTGGAGGGCACCAGGTTGGGAAAGGCTGCTTCAGAAACCGCAGCCGCCTTTCCGGACCTTCCCGGGGGGTAACCGCCTGTGTGTGTCCCAGGCAGCATTCACGGCTTGTCCACACGTCCTTCAGGATGCCCGGCTTAATGTGCCAAGGACGGGGCAGGGGGCCGCGCAGAGGGGACGTTGTGGCCGGGCCGAGCCGCACGCCCCGCGCTCCACCTGCGGCAGATGGAGAGGCTGCAGGCATCGCCCGGGAGCGCAGTGCCTGGCGGCCGCGGGACCTTCTGTCCAAGGTCTGTTGTCCGCAAAGCTACTGTCACTTCCGCCCTGCGGACTCTGCAGGAAATCCTGTGACGTTCCGTGAACCTTAATGCCAGGAAAACGTGTGTGGGATGGCAGCCTGCACCTCGGACAGACACGTTGTGTCCTTCAGGGAACTGGGTTTCGCCGGGGGATAGGCCAGGTGTGCCCCCTGGGCCAGGTGCCCCACGGCACGTGCTGGGCCCAGTGCCACGCAGCTCTCCAGCCCCAACTCTCCAAAGCTGCTGTGTCCGAGGAGGCATCTCAGTGACCTCGGCTGTCAATTCCCTGCGCTTTATTCCCACCGCTCCTGCTTCTCGCTGGACCGTGGCATCCCGTTCCTCCTCCTCCCTCCAGCCCTGCGAGGGAGGCCAGTCTGCCTGCTGGCGCCAGTGCTGTCGTGCGGCTTTCAGCCCAAGAGACAAGTCCCGTCCTGGAGGTGTGCGTGGGGGCTGCGTTCAAGGCAGGGGGCAGAGGCAGAAGAGGCGGGGCCAGAAGGACGAGGCGCGCAAATGGACCCCTGCCGGCAGCTCCGTCTCCGGAGCGCTGCACCCTTTTCTTGAAACGGGAGGGAGCCGGGGGCCCCCAGACAGGCTGTGCTGGGGGGCACTGGCACAAGGTCCTCTGGGGTGGCAAGAGCGGCCCCCGGAGGGCCAGGGTGGCCGCTGGGGCCAAGGCTCCCCCCCCCCCCCGGCTTGCACGCTTCATGCCCTGCCCTGCAGCGCTCAACGAGGTTTCCGAAAAGCCGTTTGAATTTTAAAGCACCGTCCAAGAAAACATTGCTCTGAACATGAGAGCTGCAAGAGCGGTTCCTCAGCCGGCCAGAACTGTGCTGGCAGTGGTCAAACCCACGAGCCGTTAGGAGCCAGCGTGAGGCGAGGCGAGGCGATTCCTTGGGCGCCAGCACGGCATCGTGGGGAGAGCTGCCTCCGCAGAGAGGGCAGGTGCGGGTGGGGCGGCCTGGCGGCACCGGGCGGTCCGTCCGTCCGTCCGTCCTGCCGCTCCCGCGAACGAGGGCGCTGACGGCCGCTTTGCCCCCAGAGCACTGCGAGGACTGGGGCGTGGGCACCAGGAAGCGCCAGCTGGTCTACAGCGGGGAGCCCGCCCGCATCCGGTGCCCGCTCCTGGAGGCCCTGCTGAAGTGCAACTACAGCATGGCCCACGCCGCCGGCCTGACCCTCATCTGGTACTGGGTCGGGAGGGGCCAGGACCTGGAGGAGCCCATCAACTTCCGCCTGCCCGACAACCGCGTCAGCAAGGAGAAGGACGCCCTCTGGTTCCGGCCGGCCTTCCTCAACGACACGGGGAACTACACCTGCATGCTCAGGTAACCGCTGGGCACGTGTGCCGGGGGAGCAGTGGGGGCGGGTTCCAGGTGTCTTTATGATTCTGTTCAAGGACGGGCTGGACAGGCGCATGGTGGGCATGTCATGAGCTGGGGTCAGACTAGATGGCCCAGGAGGCCCCTTCTGGCTCGCTCTGTTTCTGTGTCTGCTGAGCTTTCCTTGTTTGTTGTCTGTTCGGATCGAGTTCGTTCATTTTCCCGATGTTGGTGGCAAAAGCAGCTGGTTGTCTGCTCCTCACCGAGGGTCCCTGAGGCAACAGGGTCCTTGCTCAGTGTGGGGGCTTCTATCCCCAGCAGTACTTTGTGGGGCCCCCTTCGTTTCTCCCTTCATGCAAAGTGAATGGAGAGGAGACCGTCATGACGGCATGCGATGCAAATCAGTCGACTGAAACGGCTGAAGGTGCGTGGGAAACGCACAGGGGAAATCTGAAGGAAATGAAAGTGTTTAATGCAGAATCAGTTCATTCTGAGTCATTTAAATTCATATGCATTAAATCTTCTAATATTTAATAACACTGTGATTATATACGGTGCTTTATGTAGGTTAACCACAGTGAGCTTGTGGTGAGGAAGCGTAGGATTAAAACCAAACAAACTGGCTACTGAGTGGATTAAAAATAAGCAGTAAATAAATCAAACCCCCAAATCTTTCATATTTATTTTTTCTCGGGAAATAAATGAATTCACATCCCTAGTAGTCAGAGACATTTGAAAAGAGAGATGCTCAGAAATCTTGACATCTTTATACCAAGTGGGAAATGACAGGTTTTGCACGCCTGCTGAGCATGTTTGCCGAGAGGAAAAGCAGCGAGGGAGCCGGTGCCGCTTCTGTGAGCCAAAGGGGAGCTCGGTTTTGGCGGAGGACAAAAATACATGGGGGGGGGCAAATCCTGCAGGGGCCCCTGTTCCAAGGAGGAGGGGGCCAAGAAGAAGGTCGCCTGGGGCTGGCACCTGACGCAGGAACGTTTGTGCCGCAGAGAAGGAAGAGCAGGGAATTGAGTACCACGGACTTGGTTTATTTATCGATTCAATTTCTGTGCCTCGCAGCAGCCGGAGCGCTCTCGCTAACCAGGCGGCCCCTTGGCTGTGGGTTCCGGAACTGGGCCCGGGCTTGGCGGGCAGCTGTGGTGGAGCCCGTGCGTGGCATGCAGAGGGTGCCGGGTTCACACGGGCTTCTCGTGTTCTTCCGGACTCCTCGTTCCACCAGGGAACCGGAGGGATGGGCGGCCTGAGCGGGTCGCGAAGGGCAAGGCTGTGGTGAGCGCAGTGCTCTGCCGCGGCTGTGGGCGCCTCCCCTACAGTGGGCCAGGTTGTGGGACCGGGTCCCGCCAGGCAGGAGGGGGACACCGCCAGGCACAGCTCCTTGCGGTGTTGACGCTCTCCCTCGCCCGCATTTGGAGCCCTTCCCCACCTCGTCTCCGCTCCCACTTCTTCTGCATCTCCTGGCACTTCCTTTCTTTGCCTCTCAGATTAGAGCTGTGCAGTCAGTAGTATCGGAAGACCCTTCGGGAAACTGAGGCCTGTCCGCCCGTCACGCGGCCTCTCGCTGCGCTCGCCGTGCCCCAGGGCAGGTTTTCAGCCCTCCTCCCCAGCCTCTCCACAAGGCTGCCCCACTTCTTCCCCCCTTCATGTGATCAGGGGCTGCCGAGCACCGGGGGGGGGGGCACAATGGTGGTCCTTGCAGTTCAGCAGCCCCACAGAAGCACCGAGGGAGGGGTCTGGCAGCGCTCCCCATCGGCTGCTAGTCTGTGGCCTGCGCCTCCGAACATGGGGACGTTCCTTGGGGGTGGGGGGGTCATATCCTTCAGAAGACCTCTGGCACGGATTTTGCAGGCTCACTGCGCATGGCGGGAGGGAAGCAAGCCCCTCTTTCCCTTTGCATTAACTTGCGGCGCATTGTTTGCGTGGGTCGTCTTGGTCGTGCCTTCTGAGCACGAGTCTCTCTCCTGCACGGTGGTCACCTCTCTCCACGCTTCTCCCTGCAGGAACGCCACGTACTGCAGCAAATTCGCCTTCCCCCTGGAGGTCATCAGCAAGGACCCCGGGCTCTGCCTCAGCCGCGCCATCAGGCCGGAAGAGGTGCTCTTGTACGAGGACTTCACCAACCTGAACCTCACCTGCCCGGATGTGGACGGATTTTATCCTGCCACCACCAAGCCGGACGTCCGCTGGTATAAGGTAGGGACAGGGAGGTCGGAGGCCTCCTTTTGGAGAAAGCAGAGCCGGTTGACCGTCTTCGGCCGCACTGAGGGGAGCCGCCAGTGGACGCGGCCATGTTGGAGCCGCTCCCGCGAGCTCCGCCGGCACCACCTGGGCTCCCTGCGTGCGTCGTGCGTGCCTCGGCTGGTCCCGCTGGCCCGGCACCGCCGCTGGGGTTGGCCCCGGCTCTCCCAGGGGCCCGTGCTCAGTGCATCCATCTCTCCGAGCCAAAAGACCTCTTAGCTGGCGGCGCAGGGGGCTGAACCAGCGACCTTTTGCGTGCAAACGCCACAGGGCTCCAGCCGGGTGTTCGGAGGAGTCGGGGCTTGGCAGAGCTCTCAGTCGCCCCGAAGTCGCCCTTCCTGCTCACCAGCTGAATTGTGGAAGCGGGAGAGAAGTGGGCCTCTTGAAATGGGCATCAGGCCATGTGCATCAGTCGGTTTCGAATCCTACCTCTGGGGCCCCAGTCTGTGTTTCCTGGGTGCGGAATTCCGATAAACGACACGTCAAGGCAGCCCTGTTCCTCCCTGGTGCCGTCAGCCTCTGAAGGAGGGGAGCCCCGCCACCCCCAGCTCCCCAGGCGAATACTTGCCGTGCTCAGACGCCGCCGTCACTGTCGGCACGCAGCTCATGGCTCAGGCGGAGTAGAGGGGCCTCTGTCTCTCTGATCAATGCCCCCTTTCTTCGGAGCAAGTAGAATGGCCTTGCTTGACTGAAGGGCCTCTCCCATTAACATTCAAATCTTGGCAATCAGTTAGCACAAGGAAACCCAGTTCTCCCTGGAAATAATTTTTGCAGATGGTGGCTCATTTGTCCTACTAATCAAAGTCGCACCAGAAATAGTATATGGCCCCCATCTTTTGTCGGTGCCCGGAGGAAATGTGACTTGGAAAGGCGGCTCGGCGACAACCGCGGCCGCAGCGTGCGCACAGCAGCGTGTGCGGCAGCGAGGATGCCGGCCGCGCCGCTCTGCCCTCCCTAGTGCCCCTCTTGAGAAACCCTCGGAAGCGGCGCCTGGGAGGGCGCTGCCGGGCTTGGCCGTCAAAGACAGGCGTGCTGGGCTTTGCTGCGTCAGGGACTGCGCAGCGGCTGCAGCCCAAGCCAGGGCGTGGGTCCCCCGGCCCAGGGCTGCCCGCCTTGCCTGGCATTAGCCCCCCAGGGCTTTGGGCAGGCGCTGCTCCCGTTCCTGTGCGGGGCGCCCGAGGGCTGAATCCGGCCCTTCTGGGCGCCAGCACGCACTGGACGCCACCACCCAGCTGCGGCCTCTCCACCACCCATCCTCTCTGCGGCAGCCTGGTGCAAGACGGGCAGGCCAGCCTGAGAGCGCCGGTGTGCTGAGCTGAGCTGTCCTTCCCATCGGGGGATGATGGGCATTGCAGCCCCGCACGCCTGCAGGGCACCTGTTGGGCAAAAGTGGCCTCGCGCTGCCTGGAGGGTCCAGGCGGCCACGGTGCGGGCAGGGGGCAGGGCCTCCCGGGCTTCGCTCCCCCGGGGAGATTTGCTCATGTGTCGTTCGCACGTGTGTGCCACGCCTGTCAGCCCAAGGCTCTCGTGGCGATGCCTGCGCACCCGGGCCCCCCTTGCCTGCCTCGCGCGCGGAGGGGCGCGTGCTTCCCTGCTGGTGTGCTTCCTCTAGAACTGCACCCTGGTGCAGAATTTCTTCGAGCGAGAGCCCAACGGCATCAACCTCACCTTCATCATCGTCCGCGAGGCGTATAACGACGACTACACGTGTGTCGTGACCTACAGGGAGAACGGCCGGCAGTTCACGCTCACCAGGACTTTGAGGGTGAAGGTGGTAGGTAAGGAGGGGAAGGGGCCGGGGCATGGGCTGGGGTCTCCTCCAGAGGCAGTTGCTTGACTCCCCCAAGAAGCTGCCTCGCCCGCGTCACCGACGGTCGACCCGGAGGCCTTCTCTGCCGAGCTGCGGTTCCCCAACTCATCCTTTCACATGGCGCGTGGCTGGTGCTCCGCCACGGGGGGCATCGCATCCTGTCCGTGCTGAAGGGCGGGCGCATCACCCGGTCTCAGGTGGACCCAGAGGTGCAGAGGGCTGCGGGGACCCCGGTCAGCAGACCACTTCCAGCAGAGGTCTTCTGCACCGGGAGCAGGCCTCCTGCAGGGCCCCGTCCAGGCCCAAGCAAGCCGCTCCGGAGGGCTTTGAATCCTGCTGCAGCGGACGCTCTGCTCTGCGGCTGGGAAGAGCCATTCCCGCCACCCTCCGCGAGGACTGCCGCTGAGCTCTGCGGGGAGGGGGCCTTCTGAGAGCCAGGGCAGAGGACGGGAGCCCAGACTCCACTGCACCTCTAGGGGGAGCAAGCAGACCCCTCCAGGGCTTTTGGGGGACTGTCAGCCTGTTTGCTCAGATCCCAATGGGGTAGCCCAAAGCCACTGGGCGCTGCCCCTCAGGGAGGAGGCCTGATCTACTCCGTGGTTCGCCAGCATCATGAAACACCGAAAGCCTTCCTTGACTTCCTCACCTGCCCTCCAGATGTGTTGGACGGCAACTCCCATGTTCCCCAGCCATGCCAAGATATCTGTCTTACGGCATGCTGAATGTATGCATTCTTGCTTGGTAAATTGGAAAGCGTTTTAACTGTGGATAGAAGGAAAAGGGTGAGAATATTCTTAGTGCAGTAAGATCAGAACCGGGGGTGTTGTTGGTTTGTTTGTTCACTTAATTAATCTCTGTGCTGCCCACTGGCCAAAACTCTCTGGGTGGTTTTCAACAGCCCATTAAAATGCATAATAAAATACAAAGCACATTAAAGCATCTTAAACTGAATTTGAAATTCATATAAAAATTAACACGGCTCACTCAAAGTAAATCTTGTCACCTTTTCAAGTAGCTAACGAAGCCCCGGGAAACTCATTAAATGCCCTGCGGCAGCACCCACAAGAGAGCTAAGGTTGGTGCCAGGCAGGCCTGTAGAGGGAGCATGTTATACAACTGAGGAGCCACTGCTGAAAAGGCCCTGCTCCTTGGTGCCGCCATCTGAGCCTCCCTCGCTCTTAATCGCAGTGCCGGGGCATCGGCGAAATGGGGGCGCAAGAGGGAGAGCGCCTCATGTTTGCATTCGTGTGACACTGAGCTGCCAGGCCGGGGTTATAGGTTCTCTCCCAGCCCAGTGCCTGGTTCCATCTCAGAGATGTTTCTCAGGGACCAGATTCTGCCTCAGTGGTAGGTGGGGACCAGTGCAAAGCAGGCAGGGCCAGAAACACCTGTCTGGGCCAGGCCAAAGCCCCCTCTGCCAACAGCTGGGCCGGCAGGTGGGCATGCTGGGCTTTTCGCATTGTGGGGACACTCGCCAACGCCAGGAAACCCCCCAATGGCTGCGAAGGAGTGGGGTGCCAGGATTGGGTCCATGGCTCTCTAGGAAACCCCTGGTTTGGACGTGGCACGAAGTTCTACACGAGTGGAATTGCATCGAAAGCAGCTTCGGTGGCAGGTCACCGAAACCTGGCATGCGACTTTCTTAGAAATCGCCTGAGCTTTGTGAATGCACTAACCGAATGAATGATTAGATGGAGCTGTTGCTCTGTAAAAGTATCGTTGATTGTGGATTTGTAAGTGACACTGAATCAGGGATAAGTTTTTGTATGTGCAAGCTGTGGAAGCTGGCGCAGTTCGGAGCTTGTTTAGGCAGCAAGAAGTGCAATTCCCAGCATGCCCCACCCAGGGTGCCCAAATTGCTCCCCAAGGCACTTTGCTTCAGGCTGTTGCTTCACTGCATAGTCTTGGCCAGGCCTCAGCCTCAGTTTCCCCTTCCGTAAACTGGGCACCGCACTTGGAATGACTGGCCCAGCTGACTGTATTGGGTTGCAGTGGGGTAGAGGCAGGAAAAGATGCTGTGCACAATTCAAACCACTGTGCCTGTGAGTACTGCAAACTTGAGCGCTGAGAATGCTGTTTTGGGGAGGTCAAGGGTCGGAGGCGTTGCCCTCTCTTCAAGGGGAGGCAGGCTGAATGGCGGGAAAAGCCCCGAGGTCCTTCCGTGCCGGCAGTCAGAGACCGGGCTCATGGGCGCTCTTGCGCGCACCCTGTCGGATGGTGCGGCCTGGAGGATGTGCCTTCCCTCACACTTCTCATGGGGCCTGTTTGGGGTCTAGAGCCCTGCTGATTTTCCCTCCTTATGTTTCGGATTACAACTCCCATCAGCCCCAGCTAGCAGAGAAGGATGGTGGGAGTTATAGCTGAAACCATCTGGTGGTAGAGCATGTCCGTAGGCATCTGGGGGCTATGGCTGGGGCTGGGGGTCTTGAGATCTGCAGAAGGCCAAGCGGGACAGATGCACCACGGATCCCCGTCGCCTGATTCTCTCCTCTCTCTCGGCAGGATCTCCGTATGACTCGAAGGTTCCGTTTATTAAAGTTCCGAACGAACGAGTCGTCTATGAGCTCAAACCAGGTAATGTGCCACCAGCAGCTGCCTCTTCTGAATTCAGAATCAGCTGATCCAGATCAGAACCCTGGTTTCCAAGAATGCGCGGATGCTGAGGCTGCTGGGCAGCTTCGGGGAGAGTTCTCTGAGCACCTTGAGTAGGGCCGTGCCTGTTAAGGTCGTGCGAGCGCCTTTTCCCAGGGCCTGGGCAGTGTTCCATCCTGCCCAGTGTTGTGGGCTCTGGCTGGCAGCAGCAGCTTGCCACGCTCCCCACCCCCGGTGCCTCCTGCCTGGAGGCAGAGTCTCATTTCGGGGGTCTTCTGATCGCCACCTGTTTGAGAAACTGGAGGGACAATTCCACTGGGTTTCTTCAGTGGAAGAGAAATGCTCAAGACCTTCTCACAGGGAGAGCTCCCCATTGCCAGGGCTGAACCCTTGCTTTCTTTGTAGGTGTTCTGGATACTTTTGCACCCCCTTTGCAGGGGGGGGGGCACCAGCCCCCATTTGTCACCCACTACAGTGAAGGCATGGGGGGGTGTCCAGCTCGGGAGTAAACACAGCTCTGGCTGAGCCAAGACCTCCTTCCAGTCTGCAATTTCCTGCAAGTTTTCATGCCCCATGAAAGGGGCTTCCCATTTTCTGCCTCATTCCCAGGGGGCTTTATAAATTGTTTCTGTGGGGTCTCTGTGAGCTTTCCTGGTCACCAGCAATCAGTGTGAGATGCTGTTCCCCCTCCCTGGAGCTGCAGGATGGGTCCCCCAGTCCCAGGGCTCCTGAGACCGTTTGGGGTCCATTCTCTCTTGCCCTGTGACTTCTCCTCCTGCTTCATCCCCCGAGGAGGAGGAGGAGGAGGAAGAAGACTCAGGAGGGGAGAAGTAGCAGCAGCACGCGGACCAAAACCAGAAATAAACAGGAATGTGGTGGAGCAGCGATCCATTCCCAGGATCCCCTGGAAAGTGCAGCCGCCCCTTGTGGGCAGGGGGCCAGTGGCAGGCGCAGCCGGTGAATCGGGCCCATTGGGAAGGTTCCCCAAGCTGTGCTGAGTGAGCGAGAGGCGAAGGCATGGAGAAGGCAGAGCCTTCGACCTGCAGCCCGTCGGGTCGTCTCACGAAGCTGTCCAGGTCCGGGGAGATCAAAGGACGGGCTCCACGGAGCGCAGATGGAGCCATGGCGTTCGTGGCTTCCAGGCGAAGTGCTGTCCACCCTCCGGGTGACTTTCGGGGTGGGGAGCTCTGTGGCTGCTAGCCCTGGTGGCTGCAGACGGCCTCCAGCGGATGCCCGTCCTTGGAGACGTGGGCAGAGCCGCCCTCGCCCGGCCGTCCCGCTTCTGGACTCCACCTTGCAGCTCCCGGTGAGCCGCTGTGGGAGCCGCCCGGGGACTGGCGGCCCTTGCCCTGGCCCAGCAGGGCACTTCCGATGCCCCCCCAGGTGGGCCCATGGCTGGCCGGAAGGGCTGCTGTTGCTGAGGCTGGTCCTGGGATTGTGCCCGCCAGGAGAAGAGCTGGTCCTGCGCTGCGAGGTCTACTTCACGTTCCTGAAGGACTCTCTGCAGGACGTCTGGTGGACCATCAACGGGAAGCTCAGAGACGAGTTCCCGGTGCTCACGTTCAACACCTCCTATAAGTAAGAGCCGCATTTCTCCTTGTGGGCTAAAACGGGGAGGTGGGCGCCCCGTGCGGGGCGAAGGGCGCCGTGAACGCCAGGAGGAAGTGCAGTGGGGCTCAGTGGGGCAGCGCGGGAGCCCGGATGTGCCGCGGTGGGGGGGCTCTGTGCTTGGGCGCGCCTGCCCTTGCCAGCAGGACGCGGGGGGAGCAGCCCGCAGCTGGGGGAGTGGGGCAGGGGAGCTCCTGCGTCCTTTTGTCGCGCCACGTGGCGCACGCCGCCCTTCCCCTGGCACAGTGCTCAGAGTGGCCAGGAATGCGCACAACTGAACCCTTCGGGACCGGCTCACCTCGTCACTCACGCCCCCGCCGGCCCCTTGGGTCTTCCGGAGGAGCTCTCGGGCCTGTGTGCCCCGAGGGCCCCCCGGCGGCCCCTGCCCCTCGCACTGGGCTACCCAGGCCGCCGTGCCTGCCCTCTGGAGAGCCCTTCCGAGCCGCCATGGGGGCCTTCATCCTCGGCTTGCTGAGCTCTGCCAAAGACCCCGCAGGGTGAGCCGGCCAGCGTCACTCTGGCCCGGCCAGTGGAGATCTCCTGTGCGCCGCTTCTCTGTGTTAACGCTTTTTATCACTTCAGTAAATTGCTTTTATAGCACGCTGGAAAGCAGTATATCCATTTTCGCAATAACTAAATGCTCGGGAAGACTCAAGGGCAGGAAGGCGGCGTTCAGATAATCTGCTTCCAAGACACGCAGGAATCTGTTGGTCGCCAGCAGGCCAGGAGCTGGAGCTCCTGTCCAGCGGGGGCCACGTTTCCTGCGCAGGCACCCCCACCGCCTGGCGGCAGCATCGTCTGCCTGCGGAGGTTGGGGCGCTCCTCAGACTGGCCTCGTGTGGCGCATGTTGCGGCAGCCCAAAGGAGATGTGGCGAAGGCTCGTCTGAGCCCTCTCTGGGTAGCCTTTTGCTTACCCTTGGCTCTCGGTGCGCACAGGGGCGCACAGAGAAACACGCTCATTTGCAATCGAGCATCGCAGTGCACTCCAGGCGGATTCCCTCGTGGTGTTCTGTTGGCAGCCGTTTCTTTGCCCCCTCTTCCCTCCAGGGAGACGCCCCTGGTGCTCGGAAGCACGAGAATCGAAAACACGCTGATCCTGCCGAAGGTCACCGAGCAGGACCTGAAGCACAACTTTACGTGCCACGCACATAACAATAACGGGACCGTTTCTCAGCAGGCGCTTGTGAAAATGAAAGGTGAGGAAGCGCCCGGGCAGCGCTGGCCACGCGACTCTTGCAAAATGTTGGCATTTGGGGGACGGTGACGCTTCCGCTCTCGCAGGAGTGGGGATCTCTCGGCCCCTGTTCCCAGCACTTCATCTCCTCGCACACCGGCCTCTGGGTGAATCACACACGCCGCCTGGGGGAATGAGCCAGCCGGCTGTCGGCGTGGCGCCTCCTCCGTTTGCTTGCCCAGCATCTGCGCTCGGATGATGCCCGGGCATCCCTAGACGGGACCCTCGGGAGCAAAGGGAATTGCCGTGGCAAGACCTGGGCTGGATTTGGGCCTGGGCTCAGGAGAAGGATTTCAGCCAGGTGCCGGTGCAGCACACCTAGGAATGACACAGTCCCTGCCCTGGGATGCCTCTAACTCCACCCAACTTGTAGGAATAGACACCTGGTCCTTCAACCCCCACCCCTCATCTCCCTCTTTCCCTTTCCTTCTTCCCTTTATTTTGGAGGGTGGAGGCCACCCAGTGGCTGAAGCTCTTGAGGCCGCTTCTGGGGTATTTGAAATAGACACGTCTGGCCCAACTAACCAGCCCTGGCCTTGCTGATTCTGAAGGTTCTCGTTCTGCATTTTTACTCATGTGCTGCTTTCGTTACCGCGCCCGTGAGCCGCTCCTCTTCCTTGCTCCCCGCAGCTCCACTGCCGAGGTACACGGTGGAGCTGGTCTGTGGCCTGGGAGCCACGGTTCTCCTCGTGGTCGCCCTGACGGTCGTCTACCACGTCTACTGGCTTGAACTGGTCCTCTTCTACCGGGCTCGTTTTGGGACGGACGAATCCATCCTCGGTAAGTGGCTGGGGCACTGTGTGTCCTTGCTGTGCACGGCCTTGGCCCCTCTCCGCCCTCACGGGCTCGCTGCCCCTTAATTATGGGAGCGGCTTGCTTCCAAGAAGCCCCAGCATCCCCTCCCCCACGCCAGGAAAGCTGCCCCAGTTCAGCTTGCATGCTGGTCCCATCGTGTAGCTCAGCCCTGCGTTTCTGCGCCCTGCTCTTCCAGGTGGGCAGGCGGAATGTCTGCGCTTCCCGTGGGAAACGGCTCAGGTGCCCATTCCTTTTCCAGCCCGACCGCGGCGGTCCTCTTCTTTCTGGCCTGCCACTTCCGCAGCTTCGCCGCCCTCCTCTGCCTTCACCCTCCTGAATCTCTCTTGCCTCGGCCTCGTGCGTTGCGATGTTTCTTTTGTTCCACATCCTCTCCTGGCTCCTGTCGCCTTAGAGCAGTGGTGGAGAACCTGTGGCACGTGGGCCACAGCGGGCACGCAGAGCCCTCTCTGTCGGCACGCGAGCCCGGTCGCCCCAGCATCGCCCCAGCAACCGAGCATCGGATGACAGCACACATAGGGGCCACGCGCATGCTCGGAAAGGAGTAGTGGTGTCAGGCGATGACCTTATGAGCCACGACTCATGAACTGCGACTCGTCCGAGCTTTTGCATGGCCAGTCAGTGCGCTGCCAAGGTTATATATATTTGTCTGGACCAGCTGCGAGGTGTTTTTTCTAAACTAAAACCTCAGTTTTCAGGTTTGATTGCAGTGTTGGCCCTTTGTGATAAATATGTGGGTTTGAGGTTCCAGTGTGGGCACTCGGTCTCTGAAAGGCTCGCCACCCCTGCCTTAGAGGATGCTGGGCTCGCCTGTAGCGTTGGGCCTGCGTTGCCTCCCGCCCCCGCTCTGGCTTCACCCTCCCCTCCTTCCCCTCGGCCAGCCTCCGGTCCCCTGGCCTGCCTCACACGCCACCCTTCTTGCCCCCCCCGCCACTGGAACGCCCCTCCCCAGCGGCCCCCCGGCTCCTCCTGGAGCAGCACCTCCCTCCCCTTCGCCGTGCTTCCCCGTTGCTGTCGCCGTCCGCGCCACAGTCGTGTGGGCAGCAATGCCGCCTCTTGGAGCTCTTGATATTCCAAATGCTGCCTGTTTCCCGAGCCTTGTTTACGAAGGCTTTGAAGGATTAACTGTGGCTGCAGAGCTGCCCCTTCTGTGAAGATTGTATTTAAATTGTTTTGCTGGTGGCTTTTATTGTTTCGTGAACTTCGTTGGGAAGATGTATTATTAATAACGACACGTTCTCCGTAGAGGTGCCTTTGCTGATGCGCTGTTCTGTTGTGCCATCAAGCCAGCTCCGATTTGTGGGGACCTGCCAATGAGCCCCCCCTCCCCCCGCAAGTATCTTGTCCTTGACAGCCCTGCCCAGCCCTTGACAGCTCCGAGCTGCGGCTCCCTTGGCAGAGTCGATCCACCTCCTCGCCGGGCCTCCTCCGCTGCTGGTGCCACAGCGTCGGAATCCACACTCGCGAGACAACGCGCAGGGAAGCCGCAGCCGTGCCGTATCCGTTGCTCTTTAACGCACGGGCTGCCTTTCTGTGCTGCCTCTCTGAGGCTCACCAAACTGGTTTCAAAAGGCTCCAGGAGTATAAAACAGAGCCAAACCGAAGCGCAGTAAAGCATTCAGAGGCAACCGGGGAGGCATCCCGGTGCTCCGAGGCAGGTCTGCAGGATGAGCCGGCTTGGCGGCACGTGGCGCCAGTGCTGAGGGACATGCGCAGCTCCACATCGCAATCCACTTTCCGCTCTTTCGCACGACGGCTTCCGGCAAGGGAGAACTTCGGTCCAGGTCCCCTTCTGACTTCCCGCATCTCCTCCCTATCCCATCGGAGCCGGGGCCTCCCTCCAAAGCAGAGGTTCTCCGCAGAAGGAAGGCTGCAGGGGGCCCTTGGGAGCCAGAGAGCTCGGGCTGGCCTCCTGCTTGGGGGCTGGAAAGCCCCGGCACCGTCTGGACGCCTCGTTGATCCCCGTCCTGAGGGCCGTGTGCTTGTTACGCTGCCCCGGGAGGTGGGACCGGCGAGGCAGAGAAGGCTCTGTCGCCTTTGCTGCTTGGCCCGGGGCCCCGGCGGTTTGCTTTCCTCCCGGAGCAGGGGCTGATTAGGCGAACCGAATGTACCCGACTCATGGGAGCGCTTTTGTTCTCTCGCCCTCTCCGTGGGTCTCTCCAACCGGGGCTGTCAGACGGGAAGGAGTATGACATTTATATTTCCTACGCGAGGAACGCCGAGGAAGAAGAGTTCGTGCTGCTGACATTGCGAGGGGTTCTGGAGAGCGAGTTCGGCTACAAGCTGTGCATTTTCGACAGGGACAGCCTCCCGGGGGGAAGTGAGTATCTCAAACATGCCGCCGTGGCCAGCTTTCCCCCTCCCTCCCCCCTCTCGCTCTTGCACGCCCCCCCCCCCACAGCCCACGTGCTTGCATAGCTGGCTGGGGATGCCTGAGCTCGTGATCCAACAGATTGGTGCGCACAAGGTGGGGGAAACGATGTGACAGCAGGCGAAACGAACCAAGCCAGTTCCGAGCGAAGGCGGAGCGGCAGGACCTTGGCTGCCCAGCATTTCGGAAAGTCTTTTAAACCCCACAGGGGCTGGTTTTCTCCTCCCTTGAGCTTGTGATGGGCTGGTGCTTTCTCCTTACACTTGTCCCCCTGGCAAAATGTCTGACGGCACTCACAGGAGCTTCCTTACAGGGGATCAGCTCCGCTGCGGTGGCAGATCTGTGGCTGATTTATGGAAAGAGGTCCTGGCTGGTGTTGGGGTCGGGGAGGCAGGCGGGGGCCCAAGGCTGCACCGTGCCCCCCTTTGTTCCACATTTTGTTCTTTGCCCCCACACATCTCTCTCTCTATTTACCGCATGAAAACAATGCTTTGTGACCCTCTGGCTCTTGCGGGACGTCTCGGGGGGTAGCTAGTCCCCAGTCAGGACATGGAGAGCATCGCTGTTGCTGCAGAAAGTCTCAGCAAAGTGCCAGGAGCACTGATTCTGCAAAGCGGACCACGGGGGTTAGGATAAACAAATGCTTCCTGTCGCTCACAAATTGTCCTGCTTAAACTCATTTTGTTTCTGCAGTTCTTGGTATTATTGTACTTAGCGCAGTGATGGCAAGGAAAGGCGTCTGGGCGTGGGGTGGTTGAGGAGCGGGCTTGTGAGCGGGAAGGGCCGGGGGCAAGGCGGCCGCCCTTCGCTTCGTGTGCTCGGTCTCGGGGTCTTGGCAGGGCCCTGGAAAGCGGGTCGTATCGCAGAGGCTGCTGGAGGAAATTCGCCCGCGGGGGGCTGCCTGGAGGCCCAGGGAAGGGGCTCGCTGGGGCTGCCCAGCTCCCGACGGACCGTGCTTAAGGTGCGGTGCTGTGTGAGTCGCGGCAGAGCGAAGGCCTGGCTCAGCCCTATACCCGGCTTGGCTCAGCCCTACAGCTCCCGGCGTGGCCACAGGAGCCGCAGGCCTCTGGCCCGTCTAAACCCACCGTTCTGCAGTGCAACGGGCTCCGTGCCGTGTGTTCCCCGCCTCCCTTCGGGATGCAGCAGAAAGCGGCCACGTCGTGGCCCCTGTGCTGCGGGAAGCCGCATGCCAGAATGAGAGGCGAGGGGGCTGAGCCAAGCCAGGCACGAATTTGGGCGGCAGAGCCGTCGCCGCTGCCGGCGAGTGTCCCCTTCCTCCTGGTTCGAGCCTGGATGCTGCTCAGGCAGGAGCCGCCTCCCCGCCGTTCGCTCCGCTCCTTCTGTTCCGCCGCCGTTTTGGACCAGCCGGGAAGACAGCCGTGCTCCGTCCTCGGATGGCTCCCCGGCTGCAGCGCTGCCTCCCTTCGGAGTTGTGCTGGGCTCTTCCCCTGGCCTGAAGGGTCCCGGACCCTGCCTGGCCCCCACGGGAGCTCACGTCCAGGGGCTCCTCGCTCACCATAAGCGTGTGGCCTTGCACTGCATTTATTGTGCAGGCCAGCCGGGGGGAGCGTGCGGTGCCGTCCCGATGAGCTCACCCTCCACGAGCCCATTCAAGCAGTGCTGTGGCGCGATGGGAATTGCAGTCCACACATGGAATAGGCAGGCAGCTCTTTTCCAAGTTGCCCCTTTCAGCACTTGCTTGGAAGCTTCCTGAACTCTCTTCTGGCCGGCTGTTCCCCTTCACTTTATACCGTGGGGTGCGCATGAATGCGCCTCCACCACTGAGTTTCCAGCCTGAATCCTCCCGGCTTCACGGTGCATTCGGCAGATACGCTTACCTGCGACCTGCATGCTGGTTCGGCTTTGGACAGACGGTCCTCCTTTAATTATTTTTGGGGCTGGGGGCTTGAGCTGCATCGAGAGAGAGCTCCCGCACCCCCGTTTCCGGCTTTTCTCACAGCCACATGGGCAAGCTTCTGGGAGACTTTTCCCCAGGAGCCCCCCAGGAGCCCCCCTCCGTGGCAGGCCCCTCGAAGGCTTTCTGGCTGGAGCGCCCCTGCAGCTGGGCAGATGAGGACCAGGCGGACGTCCTGCTGGCCTTCCGTGCAGTGATGGGATCGGCCGGGAAAGCCCAGCGAGGGGAAGGGGGGCCGGTGAGCAGAGCGTCAGGCAGGCCAAGGAGCAGCCCCCTTCGTGGAGCCGGCCTGAACTTGTCTTCACAGGCTGTGCTGAACTTAAGGGGACCGACCCCTGGCTGGAACTGGGCAAATGACGTGGAAAGGAGTGGCGCTCGCTCAGGGGCGCCCCAGCCTGCGATCGGCCTCGCTCCTGGGGGTTTCCCAGGCTCTCCCTGGGCTGCCGGCGCTTCCCAGCCTGCCGCCCCGGTGTGCAGTGCGCTGCCTGGCCGCCCTCCGTCCTGCCACGCGCAGCCCCCTCCAGCTTTTGGCATGCAGGGGCGCCCTCGTCCCTCTCCCTCTACTGCCGCGTTCATCCCCAGAGGGGGCTAATCTGCTTAGGCAAACACGGCAAGACACGAAATAGCTGTCAGATCATCACCGGCGTCTTGGAGAGCCTCCGTCTCCCTCGCAGGTGGAAGACTAAGCCCCCCAGACGCGCCTGCGGCAGGAGAAGGATTACCGCGCGGCTCCTCCGACATCGGGAGGGTTTCTCCATCCCCGCGTTTCTCTACCCCACCGATTTCCTTGACAGGCGCAGCCCCTCCTTGGCTCGGAAGAGCCTCGCAGAGCCCCACGGTTTATCTTCCTGCAGCTAGCAGGAGCATTTCCAGATGTGGAGTCACGTCCTGGAGGGAGCAGATGGCTAAGACGCAGGCTTTCAGGCAGACTCCGCGTTTGAGTCCCTGCGCTCAGCGGCCGGCGGGACCGGCGGCCCCTTCCCACCCTCCTGCTCTAGGATTCTGTGGCAGCCGCAGCGTTTCTGCTTCTTGCTAGGAAAACGTCCACGCTCTGGCCCAGCCCACCGGCAGTTTGTGCCACCCGGCGCCCTTGCGGGCATTTCCCGGCTCACACCTTCTCCTCGCTGGGAGCTGAGCTGTGAACAGGCCCCACTGCAGCACCCTTTTAACTGGAGACGGGCAGGTGCTTCGCCGGTGTGTCCTTGGCCGCGCCACCTGGCTGCACCTCCCAGGTCAAGCACCAGCCCGCGTGAGTGGGATGCCCGTGCGAGTTCTCCACTGGATAGAGGTTTGTCCCAAGGCCCCGTTGGGTGGATCTGGGAAGGGTTTCTGAGAGGAGATTGCGGGAAGCTGCATCACAGGAGACCTGCCCCCTCTGGCCCATTTCTGTCCTCAGGATCACGGCCGTGGGAAGGAGGGCAACGGGGGCGTGGCTGAGACCCACGCTTTCCCAAAACGTGGTCTCCTGCGCCTGCCAGGCCCGGCCCGGCCCTTCTCAGTCCCCCGGACACATCCCAGGGAGGGGCGGAGTGGCGCTTGTCCCGTCTCCCCCGCCCCCCGTGCCCCACGTCTCCCCAGGAACGCCGGAGGGCAAGTCACTGGAAGGGCTGCCTTCGCCCCCGACAGCTCGCCTGCCCTTTCGGGCCAGCCAGCGCGGGACTCCCCCGGACTCCCCCGAAGGACGCGCACTGCAGTCCCGGCGCAGCCTGCGTGGGTCGTGCCGTGCTGCCTGCAGGGGGGCGGGCGTAGCCTTCCTGGGCCCCCTCCCAGTTTCTCCCCAGTGGCAGGAGTGACATCGAGCAGAAGCGGGGAAATGCCACAGCCCCCTTTCTCCAGCTCCTTCATAACTCGGAGACATCCGACGGGTGGGAGATGCACCTCAGACAAAGAGTGGACTTGCCCATGTAGCACACGGAGAGACGGTGCAGTTTGATGCCGCCAAATGCAGGGAGGGACAGCCGGTCGTGTCAAGGGGAGTAGAAGAGAACGAGATTAGTCCGGGAAAGAAGTTGGCTTCTGGTGGCTGCTGCGCACAGTGGCCGTCAATGGTGTTTGTGGCTGGAGGACGCATGGCCAGCGGTTCTGGGGTGCGTGCGTGTGCCCGGGGCGTCTGTGCTTGGGTCCTGCGCTGAGCTTCCTGGTGTTCTGCTTCCAGGAGGAAAGGCGGATGGATCCCTGAGGCTGGGCAGGCCTGGGCGCCATCCAGTCCAGCCCGCTGCTCATGCGGGGGACAACTCACACGCAGGACGAGAGGACAACTGCCCCCTCCTGGTTGTGTTCCCAGTGGCTGGCACACTGCCTCGGATACTGAAGCAGCATATTGTCATGAGGACTAGTAGCTTGCTTATCCTTCTGAAAATGACGCTTCTCTGTATTTGGATTTCTCCAGCAGCAGCCGCAGAGAAGGAGAAGGCAGGCTGGCTGGCTATGAACGTAGTGGGTTTTAGTTGTTCGTTCCCTCACTTGTAGCACGTATTAGTCACCTTTCCAGATTCCCAAAGGCAGTGTGGGGCAGACGTGTGTCTAAGCCAGCAGGGGGGGTTGGGGGCATAATCCACCCACGTGGCTGGCGCAGGGGCTGCCGTGCTGGCCGGCTGCACCTTCCAGGGTGAATGGCGGTTTCCCCAGGGGATGGCGATTTGCACTGTCAGGCGATGCCCAGCGCAAAGTTGCCCGCCCCCTTGGCCGGAAGGCGTGCAGGAGGGGGGAAACGTGTGAACGATCGAAGAATAAACCTCTAAGGTTGGGGGGGGCATTAAAAACATGCAAGCCACCCTAAGAAATTAACGCCTGTGAAATGAATGCGTTGAAAAGCCAGAGAATGAAGCGTGTAAAAGCCCCGGTGGGTCAGAGAGTCGCGGCTTCGCTTGGATGGCTGCATCCTGCAGGATGGCACCGCGGGCGCCTGGCGACTCTCTGGCGCGGCTCTTCCCCAAAAGGAGGGGCTGGCAGGAGCTGGGGGGGCAGGACGGCTGGGGAGAAGGGGGCCCCGGGGGCACTCCAGCCAGCCCGTGGGAGTCCGGCTGAGCTGCCCACCGGCTCCTCGGCTTCCACGGCCTTGTGGGCTGCGCCGGAAAGCCGTGCCGAGGCCCCGGGCCGCAGCCCCCCGCCTGCCCCCCGGAGGCCCGCCCTGACCTGCCCGTGTGTTCTCTCCCCCAGTTGTCACGGACGAGACGCTGAGCTTCATCCAGCGGAGCCGCCGCCTCCTGGTCGTGCTGAGCCCCAACTACGTGCTGCAGGGCACGCAGGCGCTGCTGGAGCTCAGGGCCGGCCTGGCGGACATGGCCTCCCGGGGCACCATCCGCGTGATCCTGGTCCAGTACAAGGCCGTCGGGAAGAGCCGGGTCAAAGAGCTCCGCCGGGCCAGGGCCGCCCTCACCGTCATTAAGTGGCGGGGCGAGGCCTCGGCTCACCCGCGCGGGCGGTTCTGGAAGCAGCTGCTGGTGGAGCTGCCCGTGAGGAGCAGGGCCTGGGGCCCCGCGCAGCAGGCGCCCTCTCCCTGCCGCCCCTGAGGAGCGCCTGAGCAGTGGGCGCCCCCAGCGGCCGCTCGAAGGAAGGGTTCCCGCTGGAGCACCGGCAGATGCCTGCGCCGCCTGCCCTGCAGCCGAGCGCCCCTCGCGTGGCCTCGCCTCCGGGGGCAACTCCACGTTTCCCGGCTTGTGGCGCCCCCGCTGGGTAGCCCTCCCACGAAGGCGGGACCTCGTCTGTGCCGTGCGGTGTGAGGGACTTCAGGAAGGAGGGCTTGGGGTCCCGGTTGGGCATCGGTGGTCCGGAGGGCCTGGGCCGCGCCGCCGTCCTTGCGGTCCGGCCGCCCTGTGGGGCGCATCGTTTGTCTGTCTGGGGCAAGCTGAGCCCTCGTGCACCCCAGCCAGCACCACGAGCCGCCCTCTCCGCTTCCCACCCCAACGGGGCTTTTAATATTATTCTTGTTATTTATTTCATTTCTGTGCCACCCCGTCACGACACTCCCAACCCCAGAATTAAAGTGGGCAGCTCTTTCTGAGCGGGTCCGGGAACACCTGGGCTGTGGACAGTGTCCACGGGACAGAGTGCCGGCGCCCGCCATAAGTGTCCCGCGTGTGGGCAGGCGCAGGCGGCATGGGAGGCAGGCGCCCGCTCTGGCAGCGCCACCAGCCGGCCCAGATCCCCCTCAGGGAGTGCCGTTTGTGCCTTGCGTCTCGCTTCCTCGTCTCCAGAGGTGCGTGCAATTTCGGCCCCGATTCAGGTCGGCTCGGGGGGGATTTGGCCATTTCGGAACGCTGGAGTGCCACTGCTGGCACACGGCTCCAGGCCCCCCTCCCGTCAGCCCCTGCCGGCGAGTGGCCGTCCTTCCGAGGGCCCTGCCATGCTCTCCGCGCCCGGCCCTTCGCCTGGGGAGACGCTTAGTGGCCGCAGCTGCCCCAGGAGGGGGGCTTGTCGCCATGAGGCAAAGCGGCTGGGCTGCGAGCTCGGCTCCTGGTCGCCCCTCGGACGTGGGGGAGCTGCAGAGATCCACGTCTGAAGAGCTCCCCTCCACCCCTCCCATTGCATGCCTGCTCACTGGTCCACCCTCACCCCCAAGGCCGCCTGGGGGAGGCAACAGGCATGGCCAGTCTCTGGGCAGGGGGGTGAAGGCCACCCTCCAGGGAGTGCCGTTGAATGCTGCAGTGCAAGGGGCTCCCGGGGGGTCCCGGAGCAAATCCAGCCGCCCGAGGGACACCCTCCGCCCCTGCCCCCTGCTGCTGACACCGAGTGGGGCGGAGGCAGGCACGAGAAAGGGCTCCGGACGGGTTTCACCCTCCCCTCCCTCCTCCCCGAGGGCCGGGGACAGAGGGGCCGTCCGGCAGGCCCAAGCCCCCACTGGCTTTCCACTCTGGGGCACAGGCCAGCAGTGGGCAAGCGGCTTGGCCCTCTCCCCCCTCAGTGTGAGTCCTTGGCCGAGCCCATTGCCACTGCCCAGGGAATAAAGTGGGGGCGCCTGGGCCTGCCGGCCTCTCCGGAAAGGGCCCCGGGGCGGCGCTGTGCAGTCTGCTCTCGGGTCCGGTGCAGCGCATCTGCAGCTCCCCCGACGTGGCTGCCCTGGCCTGACTCCTCTTGCCCCGGCCGGGACGGGGCCTCGGCAAGGCTGCGGCCCTTGGCCACTCGGGCAGCCGGGCAAGGGGGATGAGGCCTCCCACGGCCCCGCTCAGGCCCAGGGACCCGGTCCATCCTGCTCTCCTCAGGCTTGGAGGCGAAGCGGCACCCGCAGGAAACCCGGTCGGGCATCAGAGGCCAGAGTTGCGTTTCCCGCAGCCGAGCCTTTGCGGGCCCCTTTGGAAGTGCCGTCCGCGTGCCCGTCTGCGGGCATTCGCGCTGTGCCTGCAGGAGCCGCCTGGGGCCGCTCGGCGCAGGATTTGGCCGGGGGGCGACTTGGCTCCCCCCGCCCCCTTCCCGAGGGGGCCGCTGCGGAAGTGGGGCCGACCCTCCCCTCCCGGTCACCAGCTCACATCCCTTTTGGTTTGTTCTCCCCTCCCCCACCCTCCCTTTGTGCATTTCCTTCTTTATTCCCTGAAGCGACATTGTTGCCATTTTTTTGTTCTGCATTTCAATAAAACACTTATTTTGATATTTTGCCTCGCTGTGTTTCAGCTCGTTTCCCATTTCCATGCAGTGCATGTGTGCTTTATTTCCCCATTCATTCCTCCTTGCAAACGCCGCCCGTCCCTGCCCAGAACCCTCCCGCCACACGCCCCGCTGAACCGGGCGAGAGCAAGGCGTCTGCCCGGCATGTGCATGCGCACGCGCCACCGTGGCTGGTGCTCCCGGGCTGCGCTCACGCTGGCCCAGGGCACAGGTGTCTCGGCTCCTCCCGGGCCAGCTCTGCCTGCCGCAACCGCCCCTGCCCTGCGCCACCCAGGCGGAGACGTGGGGCGGGCAGCCCACCCGAGACGCACCTGCCGTGTGGACGGCCCGCCCACGGGGCAGCTCTGCCAGGCACAGGCCTTCCCCTTCTCCAGCAGGAATTGGTGGGGGCCCAGTGGTTCCAGCGCATGGTGTGCCCCCCCATGTCATTTGACCCAGAGAGGGCTGGGTGGCGCTCGCTCGGGCGCCCTTGTCCTGCTCGGCTGCTTGCTGGGTTGGCACGGCCATTCCCGCCCCCCCGCCGCCCCCGGTGGAAGGGCTCCAGGAGCGGGTGCCTCGTGGTGCCACCTTGGCTCAGTTCCCGTGATCTGCTCCTCCTGCTGCGCACACGGGACCTCGGCACGCGGCCCGCCTGCTCTGACGCATGGGCTGAGGCCGGAGCGCCAGCTCGCTCCCGCAGGCCTGGCCTCGCATGGCAACCAGGCCAGCGGAAGGCAGAGTCGCCGCCCCGGGGGAGGCTCGGCTCTTGAGACCGGCTGCAGAGCGTGTTTGACTCAAGGTGGGATCCTGCGCACAGTCGCTTGGAGGTCTGTCCCAGCAGGCTGCGCTCCAGGATGAGTGCGGAGGGGACCGCAGCCGGAGGCTGGGCTGTTTGAGCGATAGTCCAAATCCCGGACAGAACGATGCACCGGCAACTCCCTCTTGGTTCCCATTGATCCATAGCAATTTGCCCAGGAGTCGTCAGAGCTCCTCTCTCATGGCCTTCTAGCAAACTTGTCTCATCCAACAGGAATGATGCCTCCCGGGAGGCTGGAATCACATCTGGGCACATCTGCCTTGCCTCTGCAGCGGCTGCAGGAGCGCCAGCGCTGTTGGCTCTGCCTCTGGCGACTGGGCAACTGCGATCGGAGCAGCATGCCCGACTCCGGGGGATGCCTGGATGCTCCGGGATTCGTGCACAGGCACATCAGTGGCTTCAGATTACATGTGAGCAAGGGAAGGCGCAATTTCTGCTGAGGAGGGCAAATGTGGCGATCCCTTGGAACGACCGGCCAGTTCGATACTGCGAAAAGTTCTTAGCTGGTCCCCAGTGTAGCAAGAGGTGTGCTAACACCCAAGCACCACCCAGCAGCTCCACCTGTGTCTGGTCGTGCCCCCTCAGATGGCACACGCCACCCAATCCCTCTCCAAGCAAGAGCTTTTTGCAAAAAAGATCCTGGCAGAGCCCTTCCTGAGGTCCGAGGAGGTGCAGCCCTGGCAAGGACGGACGGGCGTCCTGGGAACGGGGTGAGATTCCTGCCTGGCAGGTGGAGGCCAGTTTCGGGCATGCCGTTCTGGGGCCTGCTCCCGTGAAGGATCTTGCAGGAACTGAAGAGGTGCAGCTGGAATAGTCAAGGAGTTGAAGCGGTTCCCCCGGGGGAAGGTGGCAGCCTCTGGGGTGTTTAGCTCTGTGAAGGGAGCAAGAGACACTGCAGAAACGCACGGGACCGTGCCCGGCACAGGGAGTGGGGAGGGAGCCTTCCTGCCCCTCCCACAATGCCAGAGCCCGGTGGAGCTGGTCCCCCCAAGAGCGGGCTGGAGGCAGGCCCAGGACAGCTGGAAGAGGCGCCTTCCCCGGCACGGAGCGGAACTGCAGCCCCACAGCCAAAGCTGCAGGGGTGGACCGCTGGGGGAGCGCGTTCCTGAGGAGAGGGCTCCCCTGGCCCCAGCACTGAGGGAGCAGACCGGGGCAGCGGGCCAGGCGGGGGCAGGAGGCTGGGCTGGAAGGAGCCAGGGCTGGCCCGCCTCGGGCTCTTCGTGTGCTTGCGTGAACGTGGCCTCTGCCCAGCCGGTGCCCTGCGGCAGCCACGCCTTCTCCCCCTCTCCCGGCCCTGCCTGCCGCTGCCTCTCCACAGGCCCCGGGAGCGCCTGCCGTGCCTTGCCAGGCGCTTGCATGCTCTAAACATGTTTGGCACACGTTCTGGTGCTCGGCAACGCCAGAAGAGCCGTGCGGGTCAGGCCAAGGCCCACTTCCCAGAGAGGCTTCTGGGAAGGGCCCGTGCAGGGCTCACGCAAACAGCACTCTCCCTCCCATCCTCCCCAGCAACTGGTGTGCAGAGGCATACTGCCTCCGCTACCAGAGATGACTCGCAGCAGTCCTGGCTAGCGACCACCGGCCCCACTAACCGCCTGCATCGCTCCTCGTAAAGCCACCCGGTTCAGCCACGTGCTGCTTGCGTCCTCGCTTCTCTCTGTCCTGAGTCTCCCCTTGGAGTCTCCCTGGGGTTACCCACCTGGGCTGCAGGTGAGAGCCCCAGTCGCCCCACTGCAGGCATCCTTTCAGGCACCTTCACCGTCTCCCCCTCCCCTTCCTTCCTTGCCCTGTTGGGAAACTCGAAGCCCCAACGGCTGTACGGATCCTTTCCTGGTGGAGGGAGGGCGATCTCCCGCACAGCGCTGGCCGACTGGAGATGCAGGTGCTTGGAACGCTGCCGCTGGAGCCGGAGCCGCTCCCGCTGGCACCCCGAGCAGGCCCTGCAGCTGCCCTGGCTGTGGCGCGGTGCCCCTGCTGCCACTGCTCTTTCCGCGGAGTGGCACCCACGCCACGCCGGCTGCCTCTTCCACACTGGCTGTGGAGGAGGAGGGGGGGGTGTCCGGGGCACAAGGAGAGAACGGGAAGGGTCAGCTGCTCGTGCCTGAGCGGCGTGGCACCTGCCGGGAGGTCTGGGGAGGCAGCTCGACCCACAGAGCAGGTGAGGTGCGGCAGGTGTGGCGAGAAGAGTCTCCAGGCCAGCCCTGCTGTGAGCCGAGAAAGTCGGCTGCCTCGGGCTCCGGAGCGGCAGTGGCGGCGAGAGGTCAGAGCCAGCCAGCTGCCCTCGGGCAAGGAAGAGGCTGCGGCCTGGGGGTGGGCACGGAAATGCCCTGTCGGGTGACTTCTGCAAGAGGAATGAAGAGCAGGCCCCCGCCGACGGGCCGCCCTCGAGCCACGAAAGGCTGGCGGCTCCTCCTGGCAGAGCTTGCGCAGCTTGGATGGTCTGTCAGTCGCCCGGCCGTGAATGCACCCCCAAGAGGGGGGCAGAAGTGGCTCCAACGGACTTACAAGAGACCCCACTGTTGATGCAGAGCTGCAGAGCTGAATGGAAACGCGAACCCTCCACCCCCGCAGGGCAGCCAGTGTCTGGTGCGCCCCTCCAGCTCTTGCCCGGGGCAGCTTCCAGGCCGCTGCTCCCCACCCTCGCCTTCGCTTCTGCAAAGCAGAATACCGGGCGGACCCTGCAGAAAGAGGGCGCTCCTTCCTCTGCAAGCCTTCCAAGGCGGACCCTCGGTGGGGAAGGGGGAGCAGCATCTGTCAGCTTGACCAAAGCCGGTGGGAATCACTTCAGACCCTTTCAACTCACTTCTGAGTTCACGTCCCACCTGCTTTGGGCTCCTTCGAACAGGAAATGTGCATTTCCGTGCATATTTTAAGAGCATGCATTTTTCCTACGAAGTGTGACAGTGCCTGGTTTTGGAAAATGTGCAGGTGAAAGCATGCACTTTAAAACGGTGTTTCCACACACTACTGTATGTTCAGGAATTTGGGAATATTTGGTGCAGGGGCAGACAGGGAGGACTGAAATGGACTGAAATTTTTACACATCCCCACTTGAGACTTCACAGGGAGACTTGCATGGCTGTTCGTGCCTGCATAAATCCATCCCTCCGTCTTTTGTCAGCTTTTCGGCACCGGCAAAGGCAGCCCTTTCTGCCAGGGCCGTGAAAGGTTTGCTCACCAGC